GCAATTCAAAACGAAACCTAAACGAAATCTGGTGATGGATTTTTGAGCTGCCTTCGAGGTAACGGGGAATGCTCGTCCTCTGGACATTTCTTTTACATGCTGAAAATGCTGCGGAGGCTGGAATGGGAGAAAATTCATTTATTAAACTGCACTTAACATCAACACCACATCATCATTAATATTAACCGGCCAGAGGGACAGAAAAAAATCAAGGTGTTACAATGTTTTGCCGTGTCTGAAATCTCAACTGACCATCAATTTGCGCCTGCTACAGCAATTTGTACTTGGAATCAGTAGACAAATAGCATTCCATCCAGAACTACACACTTAAAATTAATTTTAACATGTGAATAAATATCGAAACGATTCAGAAGTTTTAAATAGATCTAATAAGTGTTTAGCTGGAATTATCAATTTTTCAAGGTTCCTTCTGATTTTTTAGGGATCTGTTGGAATGAAATTATCCAAGGTCAAATCAAATCAATAGGCTGCCACCGATACCGAAACCTAAAGCCTGTTAACCCCTTGACACCCCAAACAAATCGGTGGAGAGAGAAGGAGAAATGTCAAGAATTTATGTTCAAATGTCAAACCGAACCGACAAACCGTTAATTAGCAAATCAAAGATATGCCACGCCACAGACACACATCCAAAACTTGTGGGGGCCACAGAGGGGTTAAGCGCGAGGCACTGGGGGGTTAAGGAGGGGCACAGCACAGTCTTCGTGGCAGAAAGCCACTGACAGCTCACAAAATCCGACAGTTGCGCACATTCGAAAAAAGATCAATGAGAATTGTGAAAGAAGCTGAAGAAATCCAGCAGACGGCGAGCAATTAAAAGGCGAGGGGCAGCTCAGGTGAGCTGGAATACACTCAAAAAAATTCACTTCGCTCTTAATGTTCAATCAAATAAAACAATATTTAGTTGAAGAATTAATAAATTTATTGCATTCTTGAAATGAGTTGAGTATTGAAAGAAATTCAATCTGATGCAATATCAACTTAATTTTCTTTATTTTTTACTTTTTTTTCGAAGTGTTTTGAGCGGAGCGGTGAGGGAGGCGCAACCAAAACGTTTAAATCGCCCAAAGGCCGTCGAGCTGTCAAGGAATCGCGGATTGCTACGATTCGGTTTTCAGTTCAGTTGAGATCTGTTCGGTTAGGTTTTGGTTCGGTTCGGTTCGGTTTTGCTTGGGTTAAGGTTTGGGTTTGGGATTGGGATTGGGATTGGGATTGGGCCTGCGATGACTTACAGTGCGCGGCTCAATCCAGTCGTTGTCAATCATAAGCCAGTTCCACATCCACAACTGCACAACTGCACAGCCACACACATCCCCAGAAGCCAAGGAGCCGGGCAAGGAAAGGGAGAAAGAAACGATCTAAGATCTTCTAACAGTCGCGTGTGGAGCAAGTTGGAGTCGCATCTGTCGGATTTGCATTACCGCGTCCGACTTGCCTTGAAATTATGTGAAATTGATCAATTTCAACGTTGCCCGTTCGCCGTGGCCACTTTCCGCGAAGCTCTGGCTGCAGAACATTTAATGTAAAATGTCAATCAAAAATCGCACAGAATGGAAAAGCAACTTTGAAAATTTAATTAGAAATGTGTACACGTCTTGGGCATTGCGAACGCCATGGGAAAATGGAAAATCCTCTCAATTGAAGCGATGAGAACCGAACAGAAGAATTGCAGAACTCCAAGGGAAGTGCCATGAATTCTACTAATTAGAGGAAAATTGTTGTAACTGATTTCAGAATCATTAAAAAATCATTTTTTTTCAATCGAAAATGGATTTACGAATGTAAAAACGGATTTGAACTTTAAGAATATGAACATTTTGGGGAACTTCTCGTAACTTTGTCTGGGGGAACCTCTTGTTTTTCCCTGAATTTCTATCTCCCATCGTTTTGGGTCGTGACTTTCCATTGAGCTCAACCAACATGGATTTATAAAGACATAACTCACAATTTTATGACTATAAATTCATTCCCAAGTAAGAAATTTTCGTTGGAAATTGTAAAACCGACGGCTTATATAATAATAATAATAGTTTTAAAAATAATCGTAAAGCGAACGGTGAGAAAAACGATTTTTTCAGCTGTGGTAGTCAAAGTATGGACCTGGTTTTTAACAGCGCTAACTAACTGGTCGGACGGTCGACTTCAAAAAGGGTTTAGTTGTGTGTATTAATTTGTCAACCACAAAGAAAAAAAAGTAAAAACCAAAAAAAAAAAAAAAAACAGAGCTAAAAGTGGAGTTATCAATGGGCGGTGGCTTCATGCTAATTTAGTTATGAACATTTTTTTTTTCATATATCATATTTCTCGTTTGTTTCGAGATGGCTCGTTTTAATGCTTCATTTCTTTGAATTTCATAATTACACGGCTTTGACCGCTCAACGACGGTTGGTAACTGTTTTTGTCATTGTAGCTTTTCTTGAATGAACTTCGGCTTTGGGCCAACTGGTTTTTTTTCGGCTTTGTTTTTGTGGCCAAGTGCTTGGCTTCTTGCCTTAATTAATTATTGTTGTATAATTAGTAGTTGGTCGGGGGCATAATAATTCAGCAGAAGTCAGGCTGACCGACCGAGCGGGCCACTAAGCGATTCATTCATGGCTCTTCTCGCATTTTCACACATTTCCGGTACAGTTGGCCACAAAAGCGAACGAACCGAACCAAACCGAACGCGCACCGCACAGACCACATTTGGAAAGACCGCCCCAAGTTGGCAAAAGGGCGTTGTGGGCAATGTCAATCAATTGGTTCGCCGACTTGGTTGGCTGATTTCTTGCCCAGATCCCCCTCCCGTTCACTGGTTACTCAGTTGCCAGCTTCTTCGGCTGCAGAGTCTCGAGCCAAGCAAAAATGGCAGCTGACTGACAGACAGATCGAAAACGCTGCTTCAGTTCAGTTCAGTTCGGTTCGGTTTAGTTTGGTTGGAGACTCTGGGCTCTTTTTTAGCTCTTTTGGTCTGGCCAACAGCAGCCACGGCAGAAACAACTACCAACTACCGACAGAGCTGAAATTGTGCCGAGGACTGGTGCCTGAATTGCCCGATTGTAATGACGGTAACGTGACACGAAAAAAGCAAAAAAAAAAAACAATTTGGGTCAACATTATACGTATAAATCGTAAAACATTAAAATATATTGCAAAACAAAAAATGAAGCGATCATGATTGGTAAAACATTGTCTTGCGTTTGATTGTAAACGACAAACGTGAAACTTCTTAAGGATTTACGATATCGTAAGCATCGCTGAGCTTTAAATTCACGTCACGTTTTTTCGTTTTCCTCGATCAAGTGCCATCGCTAAGAATCGGATCTGCAACTGGAAATTGGGTCCAAGCGCAGGAGGTGGGGCTGCCACGATTCGCAGCCAGCCAAATCGATCGAACTGCCTTCATTAAACAGAAAACAGAGCGAGCGAAAAATACGGTGGAAAAAAGAAAAAAAAAAAAAAGAAAAAAAAAAGAAAAGTAAAGGTAGAGGAGCTGGGCAACCTCTGGCCATCCCTTTCTGTCTTAATAACTCCTTTCCTGCCGCCGCTTTTGAGGCTGAAGTAGCAGAAGCAACAACAGCAGCCGTGATCTCCATCTCCGATTTTTTTTTATTTTTTTTTTTCGATCGCCGTCGCTCCATTGCTCCATTAATTTCCATGTTGGCCACAATTTGACTTCTGTTCGCTGATCGCTCGGCCCTCTGTGTTTATCCCTCTCTTTCGCTCTTTCGATGAGATATATCCTATATCTGTTCTGGTTTTTTTTTCGCAAATTGCCAGGCACGCAATTTGCGCTTGAACAAAATCTGCAACAAATTGGAAGCCAATAATCAAATGTCAGTCAGGATCAACCTGGCCAGCCCCCCGCGATTTCTTTTGGGTTTCTGTCAGTCAGCTATTCATTCGCACAGTCAGTCATTCACTCAGTCATTCAGTCTCTCTGTCATTCAGTCATTCAGTCATGGCGGTCAGTGAAATCGGGTTTGCCGTGGCTCTAACTCCCTGGGCTCATTACTCAAACTTCATTCGAAGCTCCCTTTCGAATTTGGGTCTGCACTGTTGCAAAACTTTTTTAATATTCTTAATCATTAAATTAGTGTTTTAAAAGTTGCAATTTCAATTCAGACATTTCTCTTTTAATATAGAAACTATATTTTTGCAAACTAGAAGTTGATCCAAAAAAAAACATTCCAATACTCTCAGCTTAATTTTCCCTCAGTGTAATGCCCTACACGAGGATCTGGAACTTCAGCTTGGCGGCTTGTTCGATCCGGCTGTCTATTCATTTAATGCTTTTTCGAATTCGATTTTGATTTGATTTCAGTTTCGGTTTCACGGTTACCTGCCCTACACTTTAAATAGTTCGCCAAATTAATTCCGAGTATTTTCCCCGAAGAAAGGAAAAATTAACACAAGAAACGTTTGATACCGAATTCCAATTGCGAAGCCGATATTGTTTATTGGTTCCACATTACGCCCGCCGCGTATAATTAACAATAAAAAATTTCAAACACATTTTGACACAATTTTAATAGCCAATAAAACTCAATGGAGAGCGTGAAAAGAGGCTTCCCTCCGAGGAGGGGGTTTTTCAAGGGGTGGGAGTGGTGTTTGGGGAGCCAGAAAACCCCATCATCAAGCTGAACAACAACCGCTGATGTGGCCATTGTTCGCGTTCGTTTGCGGGTTATTGTTGTTGACAAATCGATAAACAGGTCAATTAGCATTTTTGATGTTCAATCGTTAAAGAACCACTCAGCTCACCCTTCCTTCGACTGACTGACAACTGTATGGCAATCATAAATCAAACCATAAAAAAGTAAATATATATGTTCGATTCAATAATAAATTTGTATGCGCTGCCCGTCGAGCCACACAATTATGTAAAATGAACTGTCAAACGAGTGATGTTTTATTCCCTTTATTCCCCCTTTGAAAATGTTCTACAAAAAGTAAAAGCTACTCTTCTTCACCCGAAGCAAAGTCGGCTATGCCTTATAATTTCCAAACGGAATTGAACAAAAAGCGAAAATTAGAATCATCTACAAAATTGTTGTTTTCAAATATAAAACCGTACGAAATTAACTTTTTTTACAAACCCTCAATGGACGGGGATAAAATCCGAGAGAGTAGCAGTGATCAGGAGTTGGAATATAGCAAAGGCCGTCGTAATGGAATTCATTATGCCTCGATCGCGGAATTCCTGGCGAGCCTTAATGTAAATGACACGAGTTTGAACGCAGTTCGCGGTCTCAACACTTTGAGCCTAGAGGATTACCTAAAAACGATGCGATGTGCGGAGAAAAAGTCTGGCGATGGCGATATTGCCGTTGAAACCAAGAAGATTCAAAAGAAATCTGTCCAGGTTATCAATAGGCGAAGGCTAGAGGAATCAAATAGTTTTAGCAAATCCCAAACTATATCTCAGTACCCCGAAAAAATTTGGATCTAACTGATAACTACTCCTTAAATTCCATGTAAATCTGTATTAATCGCCTCATGGATGTACTATATATTATGAAAGTTACTGGCAGATCATTTTCTAGCCATGGTTTTGAAATACATATGGGACTCTTACTTCTTTCTATGGAGCTCTTTTTTTTGTTAAACTTTATTAAGCCACTACAAGCGACGATCCGATTCGAACCTGAACTTATTTCAATAATTCAATCACGTGGTATCGTATCGAATAATTGAATAAGTCATCGTGTGGAGCGACACAAATTTCATTTCAATACGCAGAACGATTAACGAACGAATCGGGCCTCAAAGACGATCGCCGATAATTGAACGTCCGAGGAGGAAGAGCTGGCGCAAAGGGGGGTTAAAGTGGCGTTTGCGGGGGCCCGTGGGGGGTTAAGGGGACCTGAGACGGAACCGCCAAATGGCAACGTGAGTGATTGTCGCAAAAGCTCAAAGGCGACAGCAGCTCTTCGAATTGTACTGATTTTTATTTATTTTATGTTTGAACCGAAACGTTCTCGGAATCCCAAATGCAATGCGACTGCGCTTTTTTTTGTGTAGTGGGGGGAATCCCCTCTGTCACCCTGGAACACCCCTCCGTTTGCCAATTGGTGTGGGAAAAATGCCGCTGTGGTAACAGGCGTGGCGATCTTCCATTAACATGTTCAACTCGTGGCGATTTCAATCGAATTTTAATTACCCGAAAGTGGATCTAACCGATTTGGGATTTTGTTTATTTTGTTTACCTTGGACAAAATGTTTGAGGGAGAAACTTGTGATAGAAGTTGAGAAAAAGAAATTGCCAAACTTCAATGTTTCATGAAAGTCGTTTAATAAGATGTTTTAGAATCGCAACTTAAAACATTTTTTAAAATATCTATAAATAATAGCTGATATTCAAATACTTCTCTCAGGAGGAATACCAATCTTTAATTCAGTGGTTAACACATCTCCTCCTTTCTGTATGCCCAGCTTAAAGCCAATAAATACCTGAGAACATCACGTAAACTAGGTCGATAACTGACCTACAGAACGCACAAGAATGCAGCCGATTCGAAGGGGGGAAAACCAAACCAAAAGGTACCTCGTATCGATCGTTGCTCTTCGATAGATTTTTGACATTTTTTTGATCGCCAGATTGAACTGCACGCTTTGGGCCATTCACACGCTTTTTGGGCCGTGGGATAAAAATGCAGCGGGTCTCCATTGAATCTGTTCGGTTCGGTTCGGTTTGGAAGCCAAAAAAATTGCGTGGCGGGGCAGAGAGCTAAACAAATCAATACGAAAACGATGCAAATGGCCAAAGGCATGTCAACAATGCTGCCGAGTAATTGGCAGTGACCGCTGCCTGATGACGCTCGCTCTGATGTTGATGATTGCGCAAAGCAGCAAAGGCTGCAGAAGGGACCTGGCTGCAACTGGGGACCTCAACCTGAACTCTGCCAACTCGAACCTGGATGTGATTGCAATCGCAGGAACTCTTCATCGAGCCGCCAAAGTGCAGCTAAACATCTGGAGCAGGCAGTTCCGAAAGCTAACGAATCGAGCAGCTCCACCCATCGCCTGCCTTGCGAACGCCGATCACTGATCTTTGCCGACGGAAAACACTGGGCGAAAATCGCGGCATTAAATATAATATTTTCATCCTTAGCAGGCATAACAAATATGTGAGCTATTAAGCTAACAGAGGTGTCTAAGAACCGGAGTTCAATCTTAAGAACTTTAAAGATCGATATCTACTACGAATTTCTTCTTTTGACAACAAACTTTTTTTTCGTGTGTATCAAGCAGCGGCTTTGATCTGTCACCGCTCGCCAATCGAATCACGGCAGACGCGAGCTGCGGCAGATAAAATTATTGAAATTACATTGGCAAGACGCCGTCGATCAGGTAGAGGTTTATGTTGGATCTTCAACGGGGATTCTAGGGACTGGCGGAATCGGAGGGTAAGGTGAAGAAGAAGCCACTGCATACAGCTGCAACAAACGCTGCCGCGGAACACGATCGCCAACACTTACAGCGCCGCCAGTTGGCAATAATTATCGCTTTTAGTAGTCCCGTCCCCGCCTGTCAATGTAATTCGAAAAATGTCGTCAGTGTCGCCCAGTGCCGGCGTAGTAGCTCATCACTGCGATCCCGAGATCGTTGCATCCCCGGGATCCTGGTTCCTCCGACTTCGATCCCGATCCCGATCCCGATCCCGATCGCAATAGCCACAGCCACAGCCACAGCACCCAGCCCAGATCGGTCCTGTGATTTCTCATTCCGTTTCGTGGCAGTGTAGCGTTGCTCGTTGTTTTTAAAATGTAATCATCATTAAAATATTTATGGGTTATATCTCTCGCTCTCGCCGACGGACCTTCAGATTGACTGGACGGCTTGTAATGACCATACATAGCAATTGGTTCTCACGTTCGGTCCGCAAAAACGGGGAAAAAAAGAACAGAAACGCGTTGCCAATTTGGCGTCATCGTTCAACATGGAGTTGGAGTTGGAGAGTCGGGAGTTGAAGTTGCAGTTAAAGCCGCAATTCCAGCTGAATCTGCTGCTGCTGCTGCTGAAGTTGTCATTGTCATCGTCACCTGTGTCTGCGTTTCGGATTTTTAAGTCTGGCAGCTGTTGAGAGTATCTGAATATTTGGACGAGCATCTGTGGCTTGGCTTGGGGACGTTCTCAGTAATTTATTTGTTTGTCCAAGCGGAACACCGGTGGTTAAGGATAAGCTATTGATCCCAATATGGAAACAAAGTATTTGATATACATTTCGTGTAAATATATTTTAAACATTTTGATTAATAATGACCTTCCTTCCCTGAATTTTATGGTTGATGCAGTTTCTTTGGTCTGTGATCTGTGTGATCACTGTCACTGTCACTGTCACGAGATCGGGAACTGTGACCGGCGGGTCTTCATACCGCCATGGTCCACTAAAAAGTGGCCACTTCGATGGCTGTCTCTTGTCTTGTCGAATGGAGGAGTCTCGAATGTTGCTGTTGTCGTTTATCAATTATGACAAATCTTTGCGCATGCGTGGCCAGCGGCGTCGTCAACGTAGCTATTTATAAATAAACTTGGTAAAACGCCGGCCCCTCCTCTCAGAGCCCCCTATATCATCTCAAAGCCCGGATCTTCCTCATGTGTCTGTGTCTGTCCCATTCCGTGTTTCATTTTAATTTGTAATTATTTCTTCAGTTTTTTTTTTTTTTTTTTTTTTTTTTTTTTTTTTTTTGCTTCTGTCTTTGTTTTTCTTCCCCTCTCGTATTATTTCAAACGATTCCGTGGTCGTTGTTGACTTTTCTCGGATGCCTTTGCATGTCGAGTTTTTTCGAACTTCATTTGCGCTTCGGTTCGGTGACAAATAAATTAAGTGGCTGCCTCAACCAGAGAGGGAAATGAAGAGGCAAAGCCCAAGAAAATAAAGACTGCCCTGCGGCTCTGCCTCTCTCAGTATTACAACAAAATCAGCCAGGCAGCTGCAACAAGTAGCTATCCTTGGGATAAACTCCAGGCAAGAGATGCCAAAGGTTTTACTTAAGCTGTTGTTTAAAGTCTGATTAAGCGACAACCTAAAGCTTCGTTCACGATAAAAGCTTATGCGCTTAAAAATATATATTTTAAGAAGCAGAAACCTACAAAATTAATAAAGAATGAAAATGTCTTAATTGTTCCCATTAGTTGTATAAATCGCATTAATATTGAGTGCTCCCAAAAGTGCAGTTTTGCCGTAAATAAAAACCAAATGTTCGCAATCGCATAGCTTCGATGTTTTTTAGCCGTTATGCATTTCGTTCGACACTTTTGATGATTGCAAGGGTTCCTTCTTGTTTTTAAGAAAAATTGACTTCAACAGCCTAAAGACCTCACACATCTGAAGTGCTCAACTTGCCTTGGGCAGGAGAACTACTTCCATTTTGGCCACATAACCGACAACTCATCCACTCAATCAAAGGACCGATTCTGCCAACTTAAGGCCAAAATCAGCTGCTACTGTTTTGGGCCGCAACGAAGGTGCATCTCGTGGCCAAGTCGTTTATTAATTTGGCATGTGACAAATTGTGCGTTGGCCAGCAATTAGAATTGTGCCTGCCGACGGACAAGTTTCGAGGATTTGTCCCCTCCCCTTGCCTGCCGAGTAACTTGTCTTCGTTTTAGCGCTGATTTAACAAAATTTCACTGCCGAGACACGTACAAAACGACTTCGATCTGGCATTTCTTGGATTCGGAGGATGGAAAACGGAGGACGAGGTGCGTCAACAGACGACAAGTGGCACTTTAGCGCATTAAGAAAATCTGTACAAGTGTCACTTTGGCACACAAACACACACACACACACGAACACACACATGCACACTCGGAGGAACAGAAGCAAATCTTTCGCCAGGAGGAGAACTGTCAGCTGGAGGCGATCGAGTCATCGGGGGATTGGGGAAATAAAGGAGAAGCTCCGAATGAAGGCGGGCTGGTAAAATTATAACGCCAACGTTTCGGTCTTCCAGTCAAATGCAATTCCACTGCACAACAAGGATTATGCCACAAAAAAAAAAAAAAAAAAAAAAAAATATAATACGAATTTGTCCAGTCATCGGCATTATTTAATGAGTTGCCAACAGGTTGCAAGGCGAAGCCAAGCCAAGCGCAAAATCATCGGCTTCAGGCTTAGGGCTTCGCCGCAGCCTCGACTTCATCCTCATCTTCAGTTTCAGTTGGAGGTGCAGGTTCAGACTCAGCTTCAGCTTCAGATTCAGGTTCAGGTTCGGGACTCGAGCTTGAAATCAGGCCTAGATTTAAGCTGAGTCAGCGCCGCAAACAGAAGCCAACAGCCAGCCAAGTCCGTCACTCAGTCAAGCGGCCTACGCCCGGAATAAAAACTTCTGAATGCCGAGTCCCTGAATCCAAAGCCGAGACCGAAACAAACCAAACTTGAGGTCCAGCCGCTGCACCATGGAAAATATTGGAAATATTACCAGATATTCAGACTGAAGCTTAAATATCCTGAGGTTGAAAGTCATGGCAGAAATATCTGCCTGCTTTATTTGGTTCAGTGTACGAGAGCTGCACCTTCAGCCTGCGCTATGTAAATGGAACTCTCGTCGGTGGTTCTGCCGGCACTTGATTTACCCTCTGCCGGCGTCGCAGTCGCTGCGCTGCGTGTAATGTCAATTTGACAGACAATCTGTCGACCGTTTGAAGCGTATGCAGCTACTGTCTACCAGCCACCAGCCACCGATTATGATTTGTTTGACTTTTCGGTGTGCGCTTCCCCTGAGACGTCGGGTATTGGATTTTGTTCTGAAATATATGAGCTTTCATCTAAGGATTCTCTCGGTACTTATTTCTTCTTGGGTTTTTTTTTAAGTTTTGGAAGAGAAATAAACCATTAGAAGATCCTGATATTAAGGATCCTCCTGGGGAGATTTGTTCCCCAATCGAACCGAGGGAGAGGACTGGCAGTTTGCCTATGGTAGGCTGCCACTTGAGATGGAGGAGTACTCGAAGTGCCACTCCACTTGGTCTTAGGGATTACACTTGTATGGTAAACACACACGCTTGCACAGAGAGATGTTGTCTGGCGTTGGCATCTACAGCATTCAATAAAGAATGTTTGCGATTTTTATCTTGAGGCCGCCGCGCGCGCCTCGCATTCGAGATCTCTCCTTCCCCCACAACAAAACGATCGGTGATCGGAGATACAAGATACACACGAGGCCCCCGAATCCGTCCACAGTACACCCCAGTACACCCGAGAATACCCAGCGATCCCACATCCATCCAGCGATCCCCATATGGACGGCTGGCCCCTTGGCTTAATACTCATAATTGATTAAAAAGAAAATTTCCATGGCATTTATGCCTACCACGCCACTCATACACACAATGTCGAGTTGTTGACAGCCTCCGATGGAGTTTGCCCAAGGGAGGGGAGCACTTGGAGAAAATCTCGGCGAGAAAATGTTCTTAAAAGGCAAGATTTTAGGTGGTACCTGCCTTGGAAAGCAAACATCAACAAAGCCCTGATTTTTATACCCTTGTATATGAGCAAAATAATAATAATAAAAACAAAAATAGAAATATTATTTACCCTTGCACTTGATTCTCTCATTCTTAACGTGATTTATGTATAATATTTTCACATAACCATAATTTTCCTCACTGTAGCAAAAGGGAGTTGGGGTCTATTTGTTCTAGAGTTGGCACTGCTGTTTTGTGGCGGTCGGGAGAGCGTTCTTTGGAAGAAGTTGTCGAAATGTTTGTATTTGTTATCGATTAATCGCTTAAATCAACAAGCCAACAGTCTTCGCAGCGCATGTACGGTGGCAGTTGTCCGATTTCAATTCCGATTTCGATTCAGATTCAGATTCAGCCCCCTTAGATGCTTAAGTATCTGTATCGCTTCGAAATGTTGCTGTGTAATTGTTTTGAAGTCTCGACTCGCAGATTGGTAGCAGACTGGCTGTCAGCCAACTCGGCATCCAGACCCAATCGCCATCGCAATCCCAAGCCAAAGCCAAAGCCAAGTCGGGAATTCCGAGTCCAACTCACCTCCCCCTTTGGCTGTCAAATTGCTGATTGATCGATTGTTTGCACACGTTTTTGTGAGCGCATTTATTGAGTATTTTATTAATTTTAACTGATCGATGAGCTTGCCGCCTGTTACAATTGCCGCTCTTTTTCCTCGTTTAACTGCTGGTCTTTTTAATTGCGTGAAATCCGAATAGGGGGTCTCAAGGAGAGGGTTTTTGTATTTTGTTTCTCGAATGGGCTGGCGAGCTGGTGTTCTTAAAGGTGCTTTTGGGGAATAATCTACTTGAGATTACAGTTGGTAACTATAAATTTTAGCGAAAGTGACTTTAAAATATGTGGTTCATTTGTGATATTGTGAATATTTTTTAAAAAATCATCCTTACAGACGACTTAAACTATGACTGCGCCTGGTTATCTGTTGGGTTTCTGAGTAGCCCTGATTAATATCCGAAAGGCTTCGTGTTACTTTCGGATTGACATCCCCGGCAAATGATGATGGCGAAGATGCATCTGTTTCCACTTCAACTTCCTCGTTAGTGTACTCCACAAAATAATCGCCTGAAGTCTGATCTTCCTTATAGTTCTCCCACAGATCCTCAACCTCCTCCGTTTCCGAATTCTGGATGATCACAGCTCGCGGTCGTAGCCATCTTGTACTCCTCTGGGAGACCGATTTCTTTCTCAATCCTGCTAGAATTTTCTTCCACCCATCAGGGGATTTTTTGACCCACGAACAGCGACGAAGTTTTTCATAGTCCACCAGTGGATTGTTAAGTTCAACGTACAATTTGGCGCAACGATGGCCATCCATCCATGAATCGCCACAAAAGTTGCTCGAAGCAAATGGAAATTTGAGAGTATACCGTCGTTTGATCAAAAATGGGGTTTCATAGTACCAAAGATCGTAGCCCACGGCTCCTTCCGATTCGGGAGGTTCCATAAACTCCTTTGCCCGGGCATATATCTCCGGCATTGCGCTTTCGAATATTGGAAAGGTGACATAGGGCCTGCCACTTAAACGCAGATAACTATCGCCCCTAACGTCTAACGCCACTGGCGGATGAAACATATTTGGATAGGGGACCTTACTCAGATTCATCAGCATTTCCCTGCCGGTCTTCTGAAAATCAAATTTCCCGTTCGGCAAGTGCCAATCGCCGTAGGCACTTAAATCCTTCAATTGGTTCTTCCTGACTACGGATTCTGAGTAAGGAAGTTTCTTCCAGATGTACGACCATTCCTGAGATGATCGCTGTGCCTCCTCCGGCGTTAAGAAGTATTCTTCTTGATTTTGTTGATTCGTTAAGGAGCGTAGCGAATGCGGCTTCCTTCTCACTTGACTGCGACCCATGTTCAAAAGTAATTTTTATTCGTTTTTCTATGAATGTTGGAATGAAGTTTTAACACCGGGCTTCGACGTTATCAACTAGACTAGACAGTTGGACAACCTGGCCACCCAGGATCAGTAAGCCAAATAAAAAATCTTTTAATAATCCAAATTGATGTTGCCAGGTTCTGTAAGACTGCTCCCAACAACAAAAAAAAGGGTCTTGCCCTAGTACCCCGAAATCGATTCGGACGGCATCAGGTCGATAAGATTCATAGGAAGCTATGTACATATATGTAGGCCTCATGAGCTAGAAGCTCTCCACGGACTAAACACTTCTGCGAACCGATTGATTGTGTGTGTCTTCCATTGAAAATTGGCTACCGACTATTTGGGTTGAACTGGATCATAGGCAAGCCCATATTACATGTACTATCCCCCTACTATGCGTGCTGATCGAGGGCCCAGATAGGCGACAGTTAGTTGGAGAACCTTTCGGTTAGTGGGTTAAGCTTAAAAAAGGCGACAGTGTCGAGCACCCGAAACCCGCTACAGAAACGCGGAAAAAACGTATTAAATACAAATTTCCTGGTAATAAAACAGAGAGACAACTCGCCAGTGGCTGCCAAAATAAAGAAATAAATCTTAACGCCCAGAAGAGGGCCAGAAAGAGACGGCAAATCGGAGTGACTAACGTATCTTCGCTGGCTGCCTTTATTGTGTATTCCTTGTATCAGCGCGTGTAAATCTCGCTCACACACCAGATGAAATACGGAGACTCCAACTCCACTCCGGCTGAAAACCGAACTCAAGTCGGAAGAATTTTTATTGGAAATCTGTACGCAGAAATAGTCATCATCGCATTCCCGCCATAATCATCATCATTATGATCTTTTGGATTGGGATTCGTATTCGGGGTTCGGATTCGGATTCGGATTGGGATTGGGATTCGGATTCAGCCGCATTTTCATCTGCCGCCCGATCTTTTTCTTGTTTCTGATGCTTCAGATGCATATCGCTGATCGCGCTGGCAATAAAAATATATATGAGCTGTTGATGACTGCATATAAAAGTTGTACAAAACTGCCAGCAAACGAGGCCCTCGGATATAATGTGATATATGTGATACACTCGTATGTGTGCCGATGCAATTGACTCTGGATGATGTCGGGGAATTCGAAAAAAAACCCCTCAAGAAAAATCCTGAAAACAAAAGCCAATAAAAACCTGATCGCCGACAACCAGAATTCAAAATAATTATAATTAAAAATATATTTAATATTATTCACTTTTTTAAATACATCAAAAAGAGGTAGAGATGAATGGATCTATTTTTTTTTTAAATCAAACTATTAAAAACCGCATAACCACAGGTCTTAAATGCACACCTGTTGAATTGTACGTATGACCACAACGAACCCATCCGAAAAGCGCAATGAGCAGAACATATAATATCGAATTGCCGCTTTCATTCATGCACCACTCTAGAAAAAAATAACAGCAGCGAATCTAATCCCATTTCGCATTGCCAAGCCAACTGGACCTTGGTCAATTCAGTTTGGTCTTCACCAGCATTTAATTGCTATAATTTTTCAATTGCAACAAAAGGCGGTCGAAGACAATGAGCCTTACAAAAGGGCTTGACAAATGCGTATCCAAATGGGAATCGGTATCCAAATCGGAATCCAAAACCGAATGCATTCAGGCAGTTGGCCAAAGACAGAGAGGCAGAGAGAGATAGAGAGAGAAAGAGACGGCTGAGATTTCCTGAAATCAAATCTAGCAAATCAGACCAAAACCAAACACCGAAAACCAAACTAAGACCGATGTCTGTCTATGGCAAAATGCTAGTTGTCAGCAGAAAACTAAAATTTTAAATGCTCCCCAGGGGCGGCAAAAGTGGAAGTTGGATTGTGGGTGTTTTGGGGGCATTGGGCGGGAAAAGGGTGTGGAGGTGGGGTGAAGGGGATTGAAGGGGGGAAGGGGAAAGGGGGAATAGACAGGCGGCGGAGCGTGCCATCAATATGGCAAACGACGACAAACGCAAACTTAGAAACGACTGAGTGAATCGACGACGATGGTAACTACTGCGGCGACGGCATTGAACGGAAGGCAGAGCTATCTATCCGAGTGACACCCCCTTTACCCATTATCCGCCAAAAAACCACTCCCCCCTTTCGGAAACGGTATGCCTTAAGATACAGATACACATATGCACTGGCTGAAATTTATTACTGTGTTATATAAAACGAAAATAAGAACATTACTTCTAACATTTTTAAGATATACTACATATTTAAAATTTCATACGAGTAAAATGATTGTTACTATTATTTTTAATAACTCCTGAGAAGATGGTGAGTTATTAATTACAAAACAATACTGAGGATAAGACACTAACTGTGTTCAATGATCACTATAAAGTTTTGAAAACGGGTAGATCATTTTTTGCAGTGCTGTCGGTTGAGTCGGCCTTGCTCCGCTCTGCTTTTGGCCAGGTCTTACTGCTGCCTCAGTTGGCCGGGTGTACAATTACCTTAACGCATCGACAATTATACGAATGGTTGGCTGCTGCCACTTGGGTCTGGGTCTTTGGCTTGGGGATTTGGCTTGGGCTCGGGCTCTGGCTCAGAGCAAAGCAAAAACAATCCGGTCACGAAAAAGATGGGGAATACGTACGAATGAGGAGGTGGAGCCCCGAAGGGTGGAACGGTTAAAGCCGCCTGTTTTGGACCTGCCCATCAGGTGCGATATGCGATACGCAAGCGACGCGTCGACGGTTGAGACAATTGCGCCACAAAACGGTTGCGACTGGATGCCCCAAAAGATTGCCTGCCCCACTCTTGAGCCGCAAGAAGACTACGAAGAACCACCGCCTAAAAATTAAGTACGCCCAAAAAAAAAAGGCACGTAACATACACACATATGAGACGAAATTATAACTTTACTTGTCACCAAATGAACAGCGAAAAATGATGAGATTTCAAATAGGAATTTGGCATAGTTTAAATCTCTTGATTTATGTGATTATAATATTTTTATTTAATTCATTGATTTTCCAAAAAGCTACGTTGAAATTCGCTGCCCTTCGGCAATTACATATTATTTGGGTTGGTACAGTGGGCCAAATACTGCGGTTGTCATGGTCGCATCTCCAACCGCTGTGCGGCTTCCCCAGAAAAACCTGATTGAATTGAGCCAGGCACTTGAGGCAATCCAAAAATGATTCCCGAGGGCGGGGAACAGACAAGAGGGCGTGCCACTGCCTTTTTCATTCATCAACCGAAATAAACATACAGACATGTAGATATATAGTATAGCATATAGCATCCGTCTATCAATACGTGTGTGCAGATTGGATTAAACCGTATTGAAAACTTTTGCGCGCCCACAAGCGAGAAAGATGTGCTTTTTCTTTTACCCTTTTCAATTTATTTAGAGAGAGAGAAGGGAAGATTGGGTAAGATATTCAGCGAAAGGATGCAGGCTCTATTTACTTTTTAATTGGCAAAATTAATGCAATGTAATGAAACGAAGCCCGCCGCGATATGGAAAACAAGGATGGGGGAATATGGGGGATGAGGGATGAAGGGGATATGGGATATGGGATATATATGTGTGCGACTTAAGACAGACAGATCGGTGGTGGCGATGCTATCATATCGTATGGGACGTATTCGAAGAGGGATTCGGATTCAGATTGGGGTTGTTCGGTTTGTTTTGGGGGCCAAGTGATGCCAACGGCACTTTGTTGGTATTCTCTGTAATTCTTAGAAATTCAATTTTCAACTTAAAAACCCAACACTTGCCGTCTCGCTCTCAACAAGTGATTAAGTGAAAACCAACAACAACAACAACAACAATAATGCCAAAACCAAAACAAAAACAAAAGGAACAAGAACAGAGCACATGCAAAAACACAAACAGAGTAGCAATAAAACAAAAATAAAGGAAAACGAAATTAAATATCGACGCTTGTGTTCGAAATTGCAAATACCCTTATAATTACTATTTTATTGAAGAGTATTCTGCAGTTTGAATTTATTCCTTGTATATTATTAACAGGGATTTTGAATAAAATACATTTTTAAAACCTCCTTTTAATTGTTAAAACCCCAAAACATTCCTTAGAATAATCTTAGCTTTTGGTAAAACTCGAAATACCTTTTGTGAGATCAAAAAAAAGAGAAGCAGGCGAAGACTCTGAAATGTTGTTGGCGGCGTCGCGGTTTTGATCCACTCGCATAATGATCATGAAGATCATGACGATGACGATGACGATCTGGTACGACGTTTTGGCATTGGCATTGCCCTGCGATCTCCAACCGACCATCCGACCATCCGTCCGTCTGGCAGTCAGTCATTCAAGCAAGTCAGTCACACATATTGAAATAATTATTATCTGCATTTCGAGATCAGCACAGCGCGACTCCAGAGCATCGGCATCGACTTAAACAACTTCGACTCGGAGTTCGGCATTTAGCCCCACATCCATGGCAAATTGAAGGCCATAAAAAATCAACGCATATTGCACATTGTCAATCCAACATCTTTGCCACATTGGGGAAAAGAAGTGCAAGTCGGGGTATGCTTTTATATAAAACACACATGTATTTAAGTATTTAGTTATGGTATACAAACATATTTAAGATTTTGAATTTAGATTTGAAATTGTTATTAGTAAAAAGCAGAGTAAAAGTCTTTGCCCGCAGGAAGCAACTCGCTTTCTTTCTTTGCTTTTCGCTCCTTCGAAAAGGAAGTGCTAATCCTTTGACAAAGGCAGCATATCTTCGACACAGCCGTTCCCTTCCTTCAAAACCTGAGCTATTTCGCGCATTTCGAACGGCTCGTGAAGTGAACAAGAAAATCCGTGCGCGCAAAAAAAAAAAAAAAAAAGAGTGGAGAGACAACCCCTTGGTTCCCCAAAAAAAAAACCGAAGAACCGAAGAACCAAAGAACCAAAGCGAATGACAATACTCCCCTCTTGTAATGCGACGTGTTTGCCTCAATTCGAGCATATGAAAACGGTTTATTTTGCTCGATTAAGTTTCCTTCAGAAATGCGTTGGAGGCAGCAAACCAACA